AGACCTCAGGTAAGTTGTCAAACTGTTCTTAAACGGTTTGACTACTTACTCTAGGAGGGGGTCCCGGCACTATTGACACCATAACCACTACACTGAGCTGTAGTAGTTATTGTGTCTGGATTATTTCTTTAAATAATCTACAAGTGCTCCTCCCGAGATCAGGCTCTGGATCCGCCACTGGGCTCTGGTTGACCATAATCTGGGGATTTTTGTTGTATAACACAAAGAATTCTACCTGGCTAGTTACACCCCCGGGACACACGTGACTTGGGCAGATGTCCTTAGCTCACTCTCCACTCACTCCCTCAATTGAGCACTCCTTTATTCCCTGCATTTAATTTTAATTTTCCCACTATTACCCCTTACTGACTCAGATTGTGCGCATACTCTTTGAACTGGTGAACTGGTACAGCCACATGCTTCTCTATAGGAAATTTGTGATTGGACCACACAAGGCCCTTTGCTGATGTCAGTCGGAGTGCCAAGAGCTTTACCCAGAGCTGGATTCCAGGTAAGTTTTTACTCTTTTTATAGTTTTTTTGTTGTTGTTGTCAGACTTTAAGTGGGGGACAGAGTGCTTATAGTAATGCCCAATAGGGCATTTTAACTTAAAAAAAAAGAAGAATTTAGAAGGGCTTCAGTAACCCTTTAATGGATAGCGTAGGTTCCTAAGCCACTCAAGAGAATCAAATCCACACTGGATGCTTTAACCCCTTAAGGACACATGACACGTGAGACATGTCATGATTCCCTTTTATTCCAGAAGTTTGGTCCTTAAGGGGTTAATAAAACTGTATAGTAAGAAACTGACATTACATAGGAAAACTGAAAACTGGAAAATGTAGTAACTTACACATAAAGACCTCTTCTGTGGCAGAATATTGAAAGTGGGGCAAGCAAACACAATACGTGTTCTTATTAATAACCCCCTAAAGTCTCTCCCCAATAATGCATGTTCATTTTGAGAGTCGTGACACTCGGTAAATTCCTGCTCAGATGTTTGTTTTTCTGTCATCCAATACCAGAACAAAAAACTTGCTTGCACTTTCGCAATGACTTAATGCATTTTCTTTAGGTACTTTCCAAATGAGTGTATTTAGCATAATGCATTACACAACTCTCTAACCCGCTGTTAGTACTGGGTTGTCTGTTGAAATCAGATTTTCAAAAACTCTTTGACTGGCAGACCTTGCTGGTCTGTTCCTTACACTGGCATCCTACGCTTTGGTACCAAAGATGCATTTTCATTACAAATGATAATGTGCAAATGTTATGATATAATATCATTTGCCTGATCCTTTTTAAAAAAAGGGGTTAATGAAGATCTTTTGTTTCATAGGTAATAGCACATTATATTAACCGACTAAAAACGACCTATTGCCTTTTTTTTAAAGCTCAATAGTTAGTTATATTTGACTTTGTATTGAGTGGAAGGCTGTGCTGGCATCCTTTAATGCTATATATATATATATATATATATATATATATATCAAATTTCTCTGCATGTACTAAATAATGATAAAATGGTATCTGGGACACATGCTGCTGGTCACCCTAAAGTGTAGCAGTGGTAAATGTGTCTTATATACCTATATGTCCACTACCTCAAGTCCTCATAGATTGTAAGCTCGTTTGAGCAGGACCTTCAAATATCCCCTTTCCATGATTGTAAAGCACTGCAGAATATGCTGGCGCTATAAAATTGTTAATTATAATACGTACCGGGTTCTCCAATCACCTGCTATAAAAAAGCAAATGCTAATAATAATACTGGGGTTTGAAATAATAATAATACTTACCTTATTCTCCAATCATCCCCATTCAGTAGTGTTTATTGGGTTAAAATAAAGTTCCTCTTTAAGCAGTTCCTCTTTCAGCAATGTGTATGCTCCAACATCCTAGTCAATGTGTGTGATAATCACAAAACAGGCATCCATTGCAGGTGTCAGTCGTTGCCCCACTCTCTACTTATTGCAAGAGAAACTAGATTCTTAAAGAGATACTATAGTCACTACAGCTTAATGTAGAGGTTCTGGTGTATATAGCCTGGATTTTCAATTCAGAGAATGCTCCCCATAGAAATGTATTGATATAGTCTCAGGAATACTTTAAAGGGATACTGTTGGCACCCAGACCACTGCAGCTCATTGGAGTGTTCTGGGTGCAATGTCCCATGTCACCTAACCCTACAGTAGTAATTATTGCAGTTTCTATGAAACTGCAATAATTTCCGTTCAAGGTTAACTCCACCTCTACTGGCTGTCTACAAGACAGCCACTAGAGGGACTTCCGGGAGCTTTGAGGACTTTTGTTCGTCTAAAGGACGCTGAATGTTCTCACGCTATGCATGAGGACTTCCAACGTCACCGGAATCACCATAGGAAAGCACTAAATGTGCATGCGCATTAGGTCTCCCCCGCCAGCTGTCGTCCGTGGGGGAGGAGCATGGGCGGGGCCTGACCCAGCACCCAAGGACATTGGCACTGGATTCAGATAGGTGACTGGAGGGGTCAAATAAAGATAGAAGTAACTGAGGCAGCCCATACAAGTATCCTTACAAATATAAAGCATGTGGGGCTAACCAAGCCACTATGCCTCATTGCTCCCCCCTGTAATTAACATAATGAAATTTGTGCATTGTGCTTCACCTGCTAAAATCACTTGCCATATTGTTAAAGAAGACAACAGATTTAGTAAGTAGAAGGAATTTGAATGTTAAACTCTGTCATCAAAGAATAAAACATTCCTTGTCAGAAATCAAAATATTTTCAGGGAACACACAGGGATATTTGGGTTTGGACATCAATATCATTTTTAAAGTTTTTTTCCCTTCAAAGTGATAAATAATTGAAATCCTGTATTCATGTAATTTATCACACTTACACTTCCTCAATACAGTCAGGTTTGGCAATTATGCCCTAATTTACTCTTTCTCAGGAAATACTAAATACATTTAACAATGCAGCAAGTGAATAGTGGGTATATGGAAATAAACCATGGGAAAAAATATGTAGTATGTCCCGTATTGGAATGAGGGATTTTGACTTGAAAAGTTAATGAGTTATCAATGGTTGTACTGAATTTGATATAAAAGCAACAATTTGTAACCGTCTCCTCAGGTCTGGTTTCTATTAATAAACAAGAGATGGAATGTGTTGAAAACCGCACAGGAAAGGAGAGCACACACAACACATTCTGTCACAGTATTGAATGCTGTTACATGCAATAAGTTTATCAGTGTTTTCATCTATAAATTCCTCTATAAATGACAATATACAAACAATGGTAATAAAATCCAGCACTCTGACTATATAATGAAAATCTTGGCACATTGTCATGCTTGATCTTTTGGGAGGCTAAAAGAATTGTTTTACATTAACAAGTTTTTCTTAATGGTAATTTGTTTTAAAGCGAAAGTCCTTTGGAATTGTCCTTTGAGACAGTCCTTTCCCGTCCTGAAAATGTGTTTTACTACGATGTGTAACAGATTGTGTGTTGGTGGGTTCCACTGCAGTGTGTTTCAGGTACACAGAACTATAACGATAGGACTTTTTGTTTGGTACATTTAACTGTCACTTGAGCAAAGATATTTTTTTTAACACATAAAGAATAGTACATTCCCGTGAACGTGGTATACATCAGATCAACATGTCACAAGTAACGTATAGCAGAAAGTAGTGTCATTAAAGAGACTGCCAAATAATATTTCTCTTAAGCAAGATCTAAGTGAAAATAAACGAATAAACAATTAATGCTATTGTTAACTTGCACTCTGAGAGAGACTTTAATGATTTGCAAGAATATATGACGCTAAACAGAAATAGATTAAACAAACGAATATATAGCCACTGGCGCAGTAGAAGCATCAACTTGGTAGGTCAGCAATAGCATAGTATGTAAACTAGACACATTAGCAACTAGGTAGCTAACGTATACATACAATATAAGGTGGAGTATGTAAACAACAATTCTTCCAATGGTAGATGAGATAAAGTATTTTCCTTTTGTAGTTCTCCCTAAAGTATAAACATAAATAAAAAGAGTGATAGTGCAATATAGCCAATTCTCAATATATCAGTGCAGTATATAAGTGATAAAGCACTCACAAACACAGAGCCAATGCTACTGTCTGGGGTGTCCAAATGATAGGATGTCCTCTCAGGATGTAGCAGAAATAAAGTGCTTTATTTGAAAGTGCACAAAAATTACATAAAATATATATAAAATAAATGGAAAACCTTACAGTTTCAAAGGTTAGTCCTTGTATAAGGTGCAAAACGCGTTTCGCCTCGTTTAGAGGCTTCCTCAGTTGCTGGTTCATGTTGTTGGGTAGTCCGTTTTAAATATCACCCCCTTTGGCGGTCGTTTTCGGCGTCCTTGGCCGGCTGTGGTTAGGTTCCCAATTCCGCTTCCGGTTTCGGCTTTTGCGTTCTATCCGTGGAACGCAAACATCACGTGATGCGCTCCGTGGAATGCAGGCGTCATGTGACACGCTCTGGGACGCATACATGCGTTTCAAAGTCCGGTCCTTCATACTTAGGTCCTTCTACAGGACGTGGGCTCATATCACAGTCTTTAAATAAAAGAAACATGCTCCATATATTTTATATATTGAGTCCTTTTCCCTCTAAGTATTTACATACAATTATAGACAACTTATAACAATTCGTATAGTTATAAGAAGGCATCACTATGAATAGTGTAAATAGAAGAACAGATAAATACAATTCATTGATATTAATACTAAAATTAGGTAGCTAAAGTGACTTTCTTTCTTAGCTTTAAACAGCTATGTCTGCTTATCAGTCAACTCCCAAGTTCTTGGAAGATACCCCAAGACCAGCCCAGGGATTTGTAATCCAAACTGCCTGAAGAGAAAATGCCAGTGGGGCCTCTGTCTCTTGGCATGGCAGGATCAATAGCCTCAGTAGGTAGCTGCAGTTGCTGGTTAATTTGGCTCACCGAGGGAGGGTTCAGGTGATGCTGAATGAGCCCTCCAGTTAGGTAACAGCGTGGTCCACAATGTGGCTCATGAAGCCTCTGGCAAGGCTCAGCAGATCTTTTCCACCTGGCTCGCGGTCTAGGTCTGGGCAAGTACTGGGGAGTAGGAAATGTTTCAGGCACTGGAGCAAGTTCTTATAGTTGAGGTTACCGCTCTCCCTCCGAATCTGCTTATCCAGTGTTTTCCAAAATCTTGCACTTATGGCATGAAATGCTTGGTCAAAGGCTGTCGCTCGAGGGCACTCCATTCCTCCTGACTGTGGACACAGCAACAAGGCCATCTTTACAATATATGGATGTGCAGACTATCTTAGCTGTGATGAAATCCGCAGAAGAGCAAGTATAGGGCTGCCACACGGTACACTGGAATAACCACTCCATTACAAAAGGGGGGGTTGAGTCGGGGCTGTAGTACAAGGATCCAAGTAAGCGGATTTCCTGATGTGCAAGGGATCAGCCGCCTTCACTGCACTTGTGCTAGGCCGCAAGCGACATAGTTGCTCCAGAGTGATCGATCCTCAAGTAAAAGACTTGAATACGACTACAGCAGAGCCTGCTGTATATTATCCCTGTCTGTTAATTAATCTAAAGTGTTTTTAGGTCCAGAAATCTGCCCACTTTATATTGGTAAGATTCCTTCCAGCATGGCCGTCAGGCGCCGCCCCCTTGGGCACTGTTCTGATACTTTGCAGACAATCAACCTAGTGTTGAATTCAGTTTAGCCAGAACAACATTTTGATTTATTCATTAATATTTGTCTTTAACATCAGACTATTTTTTATTTCTGTGAAGGTTACTTGTGCCTCACAAAATTAAAAGATAATAATAAAAAAAATTAAACAAAAACACACATAAAACTTACCTTTATTCTAGTGCCTGGTCTGTCTCCTTTGCAACCACTTCACCTTCCAAAGAAGTCAACAGTTTTATTCATTTTTGTGCAACCCTTTGTCTAATACAATGTATTGAGGACATAGGGTGCTTGAGTAGCAGTCCTGTGCCATGAGAATCAAATGCTTCTCATAGTGTTAGATGCAATCTGAGTCATCACGCTAGCAATCATGATGCTGAGCATAAAGAATAATTGTAATAAGGAAGGAACATGTTTCCAGACATTTGTAAACCTTGCTACTTTTTATAAAAGGCAATGTTTTACATTGTCTAAAAAAGGAACAGCTGTCTGTACACAAAACCACTTCACGAAGATGAAGTTGTTTTGATGCTTAGCATGTCAATTCAGTTTGGCATTGTTATTGTTTTTGGGTTTTTTTAAGGAAATTAAATCCTTTCATGAAAAGAAGTTGTCTCAAGAACAGAAACCAACATCTGAGATTGATCCTTTTGGAAAGTAATGCAGTGGTTTTGATCCATAGATACTGTCCCTTTTTTTTGGACAATGTAAATCATTGCATTCTGAGGAAAGGCAATGTATACATTTGGCTGAAATAATGCTTCTGATGGCTGTTTTCCTGCTTAAGACCTTACTTTTTTTAAAGCTCTTCACATTTGTTGTCATCCTACACAGCATACTGACACAGAGCGCGTCTAATGCTTCTTATATAGAAACATTGGAATAATTGCTATGAGAAGCAATGAATTGGTGGAGAGGGGCAATTTCTGTGCTAGTGTAGAGCATCTCATATGCCGTGTGCTATCTTTCCATAGACACAATTTGGGAACTCTACAGAAACAGTTTTAGCACTTCATTTAGCATTCAGTATTTGCAACTAAACAGATATCCATTTGAAAACATGAATGTTTGCCTAGTTTCTGAACAAAGAGCATTATAAACACCATAGCTCATATAGCTCATTGTAGTGCTTAAGGGGCAAAGAAAGAGCATGACTCCCTTCCTCCCATGTTTATGTACTTTCAAAGCACTTTTGCAAAAAAACTGGGCTTTCCTGGGCCCTCTGCTAGAGTTTGGCTAATAAAGTAGTGGACTTCTCTTTTAACTAGTCCAACTTTAGATGGTAGTGACAAGATGTGTGTTAGATATCTTCTCCTTTCTCTGCTGTACAAAGTTGGTTAATGTCGATGTTCATTTCCACAGCAGAATGCATGAGTTCCAGGAGAAGGCTGGGCTGACAATAACCCGGGGGGTGGTACAAACAGATTTAAAGAATACAGAAATATTTTGACTGCTTCAACAATATATGTGGGAGGTTTCTAAAGACAAAAGCCCTACTTTTTAGTGAATAGAATCCCTTCCCGAGGGATGAAAGCTGCATGCATATTTAGAGGCAAATGTACTTTGAATATACTCCAGTGTGCAAGGCTGACTTGCAGTACAAGACTCCCAATCTCTGGCAGCACACATGCATCATGTATGTAAACGTAGACCCATTTATGTGTGCCTAATGAAGATCATAAAGAAGATATCATTGTCTCAATGGATGCAAACATTATGGGTGGGGGGGAGGGGTTGTTGAGAAATATTTTGTTATACCTCCTTAAATAAAACAGTAACTTACTAAAATTATATATTTATATACCTGAAGTGAAGAGAAATGCCAGTAGTGCCTCTATCGCGGGGTCTAGCAGGATTTAAAAGCCTCAGTAGATGACTGCAGTGTGTGTATATATATATATATATATATATATATATATATATAATTTATTTTTGCTGCCTCTAGGAAATTAACCACTCAGATCTATCTTAAAAAGTGACATATGTTTAAAATACATAAGGACCACATTAAAATACATTCAGATAGTTTAACATGATCAGAATAGCTGCCTCCCACTGAAGCATACATTGTTTTTCAAGATCAGCTTCCTGTATGCTAGTTTCTTCCCCCTCGTTCACATATTGTGCCAGTGTACTGAAATAGCATTGCTCCCACATCTTCTGACATCCCAGCTTGTCCATGTCATTTTAGTTTTCCACATCGAATGTGTGAAAATATTTTTATATATGTATATATTATAGGAATTGGTCATTGACTTAATATCTTAATGATACCAGATCTGAAATGTGCTTTATTATTGCTGAACATGTAAGAATGCTTTTTGCTAACAGTAATGGACTCTAATTGGAAATGAATAAAAAATGTTGCAATAGAAACATAGAATGTGATGGTAGATAAGAACAATTCGGCCCAGCTAGTCTGCTCAGTTTTCTAAATAATTTAATTAGTCCCAGGCCTTACCTTATGCCTATCCCACGCATGCTTAAACTCCTTTACTGTGTTAACCTCTACCACTTCAGGTGGAAAGCTATTTCATGCATCCACTTCCCTGTCAGTAAAGTAATACTTCCTGATATTATTTTAAAACCTTTGCCCCTCTAATTTAAGACTATGTCCTCTTGGTGTGGTAGTTTTTCTTCTTTTAAATATAGTCTCCTCCTTTACTGTGTTGATTCCCTTTATGTATTTAAATGTCCCCCCGTCTCATCTTTCCTCCAAGCTATACATATTTTTTCCTTGTAAGTTTTATCCTGCAATCCATGAACCAGTTTAGTAGACCTTCTCTGAACTCTCTCTAAAGTATCAATATCCTTCTGGAGATACGGTCTCCAGTACTGCGTACAATACTCCAAGTGAGGTTTCACCAGTGTTCTGTACAATGGCATGAGAACTTCCCTCTTTCTACTGCTAATACCTCTCCCTACACTACCAAGAATTCTGCTAGCATTTCCTGCTGCTCTTTTACATTGTCTGCCTACCTTTAAGTCATCAGAAATAATCAGGTTAGGACTCTATCAAATATTTTGTACTCTGCCTATGGGTTTTTACGTCCAAGATGCATTATCTTGCACTTATCCACATTAAATTTCAGTTGCCACAACTCTGACAATTTTTCTAGTTTACCTAAATCATTTGCCATTTGGCTTATCCTTCCTGGAACATTAACCCTGTTACATATCTTAGTATCATCAGCAAAAATACATACCTTACCATCAAGACCTTCTGCAATGCCCCTAAAAAATGGGTCCAAGTATAGATACCTGAGGTACCCCACTGGTGACAAGCTCATACTTCAAATATACTCCATTAACTACAATCCTCTGTTGCCTGTCACTCAGCCACTGCCTTACCCATTCAACAATATTGGAATCCAAACTTAAAGATTGCAGTTTTTTGATAAGCCTTCTAAAGCCTTACTGAAATCTTACTGAAATCTAGGTAAGCAATGTCTACTGCACCACCCTGATCTATTATTTTAGTTACCCATTCAAAAAAATCTATACGATTAGTTTGGCATGATCTCCCTGAAGTAATCCCATGTTGTCTCTGATCTTGAAATCCATGTGATTTTAGATGTTCAACAATCCTGTCCTTTAACATGGTTTCCAATACTTTCCCCACTACTGAAGTAAGGCTTACTGGCCTATAGCTGCCCCACACCTCCCTACTACCTTTTTTGTGAATGGGTTCAACATCCTCTAATTTCCAATCTTCTGGGACTACTCCTGTTAACAATGATTGGTTAAATAAATCTGTTAATGGTTTTGCTAGTACACCACTAAGCTCTTTTAATAACTTTGGGTGTATTCCATCAGGTCCCATTGACTTATTTGTCTTTACTTTTGACAGTTGAAATAGAACCTCTTCCTCTGTAAACTCACATGTAACAAATGACTAATTTGTCCTTTTTCCTAACTGAGACCCGTTTCCTTCATTTTCACCTGTAAATACTGAACAAAAATATTAATTGAGGCAGTCAGCTAGACCTTTATCCTCTTCTACATACCTTCTTTCTTTTATTTTTTATCTAACTAATCCTTGTTTTACTTTCCTTTTCTCATTTATGTATCTAAAAAATGTTTTGTTCCCCTTTTTTTTTACTGACTGTGCTATTTTCTATTTTCTCCTCTGTGTGTGCTTTGGAAGCTCTTATAACTTGCTTGTACCTTGCATTAATCAAGCTTAGATACCTATTCTTGTGCCGATTCTCGCTTGGACTCCCTTCGTTAAAATGTTATTTTATAAAAATAGACATTGAAAGTTTTTTGTTCTGATTTGTCCACCTAACTACACTTGTGAGAACAGCACTGATATAAAGCAATGTTTTACATTTCGTCCTAAACTGGATACTGTCACTGGAGCTTTCCATACTGTCTTAGTTTGATGACATCATTTAACTGGATATGGATTGTTCTCTATGTGTGTGTGTGCTGATAACATCTGATTGGCCAGATTAGTGATCTGACAGGGATCATTTTAGTTCTCAAATTTGCATACAATAAACATTTTTTTTTTAAATATATCAGGGATATAGAAACACATGTCCATGTCCATTAATTGAGTTTAAAGGGCTATTAGAAACCTTTTAAAGACATTAAAAAAAACAAAAGTTAAAATGCCATATTGGGCGTCACTGGATAGGTCCCCCCTAATTCTCAAACCTGAAAAAAAGAAAAATGGACTTCTAATCCAGCATCAAGCAAATTAAAGGCCTTGTGTAGTCCAATCAAATGCTTCTCATATAGAAGCATTTGAATGGACCGTTTTGCCAGCTCAGAGCATATGAACGCAGTTTGATCCAGCAAAGGGAAGGAGGAGATTTTTTTCTTAAAAAAAAATAAATAAAAAATACAAGTAACTAGCAAAGAAAGAGTTCAAGAGAGAGAAAAGCTGTCCTTTGCAGGCATGCTGCCCCTAAGTGCAAATCTCCTTACATCTGTTGAAGGCACAATGTTCGCGCTAACAACAGACATACATTTTGCATGGAATGCCGGGGTTGTAATTAGCCCCCAACACAAAAGTGCATATTTCTTTATATTCAAGCAAAAATCATGAACTCTGTAGTTCATTCAACTTTAAAGGAACACCATAGCATTAGGAATACAAATCTGTCCCTGCCTCTAGTTTTGTAGGTCCCTTCCTTTCCCGGGTAAAAAAAAAAAAACTTTATAAACTTTCCAGCATCAAAGCTTCCTCAGTGCTGACTAGGTCTCCTCCTCCCAGGACGTCCTGGCGATGATGGGACCTAATATGCATGCGTGGCGCTTGCCACATGGGCATTAAAGCTTAATTTAATGTTTTCCTGTTAGAAATTTGAAGATGTTAGTCGTCCTCATGCAAAGTGTGAGGGTATCCAATGTTGTTTAATGGAGTGAAACTCTTTTAGGAACCCGTAAATGCCACTATTGACTATGTCAAAGATGGCCACTAAAGGTAGATTTAACCCTGTAATGCAATCATTGCAGTTTCTCAGGTGCAATGTTTTACATTGAAGGGCTAAACAGGTAGGGGCACTGCACCCAGACCACTTCAATGAGATGAAGTGGTCTTGTTGCGCATAGGGTACCCCAGGTCTTCCAATGTCTCTGTGTCAGGCTTGACAAGAAGTGGAAGGGATCACTTCCCATCTGCTCACTAACATGTTCTCACACTGGAACTCTATCACAGGAGGAGCAGGGGAAGCTCAGAGTGATACACACTCTATAACAATACCTGCATCCCTGCTATCAACCCTGCTAAGTACTTTGCAAATAAAAAACAAACAAACCAAACAAAACCTCCACATTACTGTACCCTGAACACCATTTCCCCAGTTACTAACTTTCTTTAGTCCCAGATGTAACCCAATATTGAACTTAGCCAACCTCCTCTATACCCAGCAATCCTAAACACCCCCTATACCACAATTGTAAATCATATCAAGTTTTAATTCCACTTAACACCCAAGGTCATCTAACTCTCTAACACCCCCTCTGCTCTAACCACTTATAACATTATCTTTAACCCCTGCATATATTTACATAGTTACATGCAATTACTATGCTCACAGATTTAAACTCAACATATTACAAGCCTAAATACGTTCATACATATATAAATATGCAATTCTTAAATGTAAATATTTATGATTTTAGAGAATTTTTTATTTCTGCAATGTCCAGTTAAACACACTTTATCTGCTTTTTCTCTCTTTTTTGGGGGGTGGGGGTGGGGGGAGGAGAGGAGACGCAGAGGGGCGGGTTATAATTCTGTGCCTGCAGGCATTTGACATGTAAATACAGCCATGTATGGGTTTCATATGAGTGCACTACAGAAAACCAAAAAATGTATGTGGTGGAAAGGCTAGTACTTTATTTGAAATAAAATATACTGTCTCAGGGTCCAAGCCAACGTTAAAAGTGATTTGTGCTACTTTTTATTTGTTTTTAATTCCAAAGTGGTTTTAGTTATATTTTAATATACATAGTATGCTTGTATGTCCAGGCACAGCCAAAACATGCCATGTACATTAATTTAATCCCCATTATGCGCATTATAGAAAGAAGCCCAAACACATATGTATTTGTGTGGCATTTATCTGTAGATGACGAAGTGAGAATGGGTGCATCTTGAGAATCATGGGGTGATGAAGTCAGTAGATTTTATACTTTGCTCTGTTGCACTATACGCTCCAGTATAGTGCAAAACATATTTATCCTTATAAAAATTAGTTTTGTCTTCCTTTTGATTGTAGTCCAGCAGAGTAAAGATGGGCGATTGCTGTTTCCCTAGACCTTGCTTAATTTTAAAGGTTAAACCCGAGCTTGAATGTATTTTGGCATATGAATAAGCAGGTCCAATGAAGGATGCAGAAACAGCTGTTGTTGATTTGTTGTTGTTCCACTAGGAGCCTCCTTGCTGTCATAATTTGTTCAATCGCATATGAACTGTTTCAGGAAACAATTACATTAAAAGAAGGTTTTATTTATATACACTGTTAGGAATGCCTCCGCAAATCAGCTATCTAGATCTTTCCAAACGTCACTTGTCATTGAGGTACTCATGCCATCAATGTGGTGTTGCTGCCATATAAGGTTGTTATACTCCTCTGTCTGCCACAATGACGAAGAGATAAAGGCTATAATAATACAATATGAGTTTTTTAAAATTGTCTCTGTTTTATTGCATCAATGTTGCTATATCTAGTCTACTTGACTTCATGCATTACAAACGGAGTTTGCCTGTGCTTTAACAAAGTGTTATCTATATTTTAGTAATAATTCACACAGATAAGAAACTGGAAGCGAATATTAGTTAGTTCCAGGTTTGATTGTGGACATTTTTTGAGATATAGGCAAGTTCCAGTGCTACCTTTCCAGTCCTGGATTTGACTTTCATGATGCTGAGCCAGTTCTAGGCATATCTGGGAACATTCTAAATTATCATAATGCAACACACTAAAAAATAAAATAAATGCTACAATTTCACAGATATAATAGTAATTAAAGGTATCACTTGGGAGTCTCAAATGTCATCGCATTTGTTTGAAATATTAGGGATCCAGATCCAGGCAACATAACCCCATATAATATACAACTTCATTATATGGCCACTAAGACCAAAGCATTCACAATCTAGGCAGGTATGCAGTGTCTGTGCTATCATTTGTTTATTAAACGGAATATATTTCTGCAGAACTTTTATATATTTTTTGTTTCATGAATACAGTATTTCTCATAATTTTCTTTTAAATGTACCCTTTTAATATCATCTCTCCTCTCTAAATGCATACCTGCTTGTATTCATTTTATGTAAATATTTGCAATACCAATACACAGATCCACTGGCCACTTCATTCAAAGGGCTACTCCAAGCAGCATGGCCACTTAAGTTTTTTGAAGTGGTGATGATGCAAGAACCCTATATGTGCATTATGAAATTTTTCAAATATGGAGATATTTAAGCTCCTGTCCGATGTGTAACAACACCTCAAGTAGCTTCAATAGGCTAATGTTAATTCTGTGCTTATTTCTTGCACTGATTTTCATTCATTTTCATTCATCAGTGCTTGCACACTTTTGACCAAGTTTTTCGAATGATCCTATTTTTGCTCCACCCCAATCCAGAATATATTTTGTTGGAATGAGGTCTAGGGGTATTACAAGCCATTCAAGTTAACGTCCTGTCACAATCATGGAACCAGTTGGAGATAACGCATTTATGTGACATTGCGCATTACTTGTATCACTTTGAAATTGGGTAGGCTGTGGTCTCCTATTTGCTCCATCATTCAAATAACGCCCAGATTGCCTGTGTGCCAAGACATTACTACTTACACTATAAAACCACCATCTGTACATTTGTGACACTATACTAATATGATTTATTCTGCCCTCAGTACTACCACATATCGAATGATTTTTATAGTATCATTCTTTCTATACTAGTGACTTGAAAATTCCAAGTGGTCCATTGTGTTTGAGATGTAATCCTTTTTGGTTGCCACTATTATTGGTATCACAACGCCATTTATATCATTTGTCATACCCACTGTACCACTTAGGCGAATAAAAACGTAACCTTGCTTTCTTAAATTACAGCCATGGATAATAAGTGTACCCAATAAAACAACCATTGAGTATAAGTCTGTATTTGTTTATATAATTTGCATGAACATTGTATATTGTAGCTCAAGGATTCTAGATTGACATGTTTCTAATGTAGTGGGTGACCTCGTTTACAGTAATATGTCATAGAAGAATGTGCTTCTTTAACCCCTTAAGGACTCAGGACATGTATGACATGTCATGATTCCCTTTTATTCCAGAAGTTTGGTCCTTAAGGGGTTAAATATCTCTGTAAATGATGTTACTACTGTGATACCATACAAAATACACCTCTTGACTTGATGACACCTGAAAGCATTTCCTAAAATTCTCCACAATTAATGGTTTGGGGGCTCTAATTCCCTGTCAGTGTCTGATATCTGTGGGAGTTATATTGCTTAGTTGCCATTTTATTTAGGTGGTTCCTAGTATGTCCTAGTGCGGCCATAACCCCTACACTACTCTAAACCTAAAACGAACTCCAACCCTGATAATAACTCTGCACTAAAAAAAATAAAAATTTATAAACAAGTACTCGGGGATTCTACAAAGAATAAAACAAGTTATAAATATAACAACAAGAAAAAACAAAGTGAGTGTGTGTCTAAATTTATCAGCTGCACCAAACTGCTTCTCTCATGCTTTCTGCTTGTTTTGGAGGCTGGTAGTTTAGCTGCTGTGTTTCCCCTGACGTGCTAAAGGGTTACAGAGGGGTGGGGAGAGGAAGGGGACTTGTTTTGACTGCTGACATTTGTGGCCTCCTGGCAGTCATCCAAGCGGTGACTGCTTGCGTCAGGCAGGGGGTGGCCCGGAGTAGCTCCTGTTGCTATGGAGAGATAGCGGGGGTGGATTCCTAGGTTCCCTAAGCCTGACAGATTACGTCTGAGGCTCTCACACGCCGCACATAATACGATGTGGCAGGGCAATCCAGAGGTGTCGTGGATCAGATAGCTGGGGGAATGACCCGCGATCAGCTTCTAGGTAACATGCCTTTTCACTGTGCTACATTGTTTCGCTGTAAGTTCTGCATGTGTCTCAGAACGTTCCATGCACACAGGGATAGGAATGCTGGCGTTTCCTCTCTCCATCTGTCAGCATGCTTTGCTTTGGGGGCTGTGATCGTTGTGTAAAATGCCTCTGCTCTTTGTGGTTCATCATTCGCTGCAGACAGGAAAGGCTAAAGGTAACTCTTGTTGGGCAGCCCCGAATTAGCTCGCTGACTGCCATAGCTGAGCGCTGTATGAGGAAGTGAAGGGTTATTCTCAAGGATATTGTGAAATCGTCTGGAAATCCCTAAACAGATAATATCCGGAAACACTTGCCTTGCCTGCAGCCAACCCCCCCATGTTAACTGCTTCAGAAACGGAACAAAAACTTTGACGTTGTAACCTCTGAGCTTCATTTAATAAACACCAAACGGTAGAAATCCGAATTTAGGTAAAAGTTGCTCATTTGGAAATATTCTACAACGTGGCCATCACAGCCTCACGGTATTATTCACTAAAGTGAGAATTTAAAGTGAATTTTCAAACTTGAAAAATTCACAAAGTCAGCCAAACCTTCAGTTTTGCTCCCTTGGCCTTAAATTCACTTTGAGTTCTCACTTTAGTAAATAAGTGTTGCAGTTCCATTTTAAATTCACTACAGTTCTCTGTGTAGTAAATAAACCTCTGTGTGTAAAAAACAAAACAAAATACATAAATCATAAAATATAAAGAAAGTACCACAGTTGTATTCAATGCTTCATAAATAGTAACATTCTTCATCAGTTCTTAATCATTTGGCATTTTTAAGGATTTACATATTTTGGTTAATTTCACAGATTTATTTGTAGACATTTATTGGTATTTCTCCTGGTGTTTGTTTTTTCACGGTGGCAACATTTCAACACTTTCGTCCATGGTTTCTTGATTTAAAGCCAGAATGTTTGTTCATTTATTTATTTTAAACCCTAACAGCTTTTTTGTTCCATTTTTTTTTTTTTTGAGAATTAAAAGTGAACTGTAAATATTAGATAACCATCACAATTCAGTAGTAGACAATTCAGGAGTGCGTCTTAGGTAGGGCTGCTGCGCTCAGTTTAAGAAACCCTAGGCCCTACCCACAAAAACAGATGCAAAAAGCAAAGGACTGTACTCACAAATCAATATAATAGGATTCTTCATAAGCCCAGCGATAGAGGATGATTACAAAGGCTTTATATTTGGCTAAAATTCTTAACTCCTTTTGTCTGTTTGTTACAATCTTCAATTTAGTGGATAACAACATTCATTTTTGCTTATCCCTGGTACTCAAAGAGTTGATGCCATTTCTTAAATTTGCAGTGTTCTTCTCAAAGCGAGTTGCATCCATATCCATCAGTCCAATAGAAAATGAACCTATATATCCATCATCTACTTTATTCTCTGTTACGTTAATATGTTTGTAGTTCACTTGTTTATGTGTTGATAGTATATTAACACTAATACTGCTAATGCATTCTGCAGTCCAGAACGACTATTGAAAGGTTGCTTACCTGCTAGATTTCTAGGCCACGAGCTAGAACTATTATATTATATTCACATCTCTAAGAAATTAATATGTACCATTTTATTAACGTGACAAACTGATCATTCTCTTCATTACATATAAACTAAAAACAATCCCTCCTAGAGGCTTTTGCATCGAATTTTGGAGCCACACTGGAAATTGTTTGCAGTTGTTTTGGGACTTTTTGGTGCATTTCCCAAGTTGTGGAAAGGTAGGGAGCTGAGCTTCGTCGTTCGCATTCCTTTTATTGTGTGTTCTGCATTGTCGGTTTGTTTCCATGCCAGCTCATTTTGACTTTTTTCTGACCTCCAGAACGGATTTATTGGTTTTCAATGCATTCCTATGGGAAACTGCGTTTCAGTTTACAAATTTTTCGCAATAAGAAACGTCCCGGAGAACGCATTAAATTTGTAAACCGAGGTCCAACTGTATAGTGCTTTCAGTGACTCAATGGATCCTTAGGAACTCTTTGCACTATAAGACTATATTAGTGAGTTGTAGTGTTTATGGTGCTTAAACTCCCTTTATTGGGGTTCCTGTACAGATGTTTTTTTTTTTTGTTTTTTTTCTTTACACTTCTTTCTTCCCCAACTGATTCATGTATATTCGTAAAGAAACCTGCGGACAGAATATAAATTGGATCTATTAGAAATATCCTTAACTTCGAAGATAAGGATACATTTGGAATTAAAATCCTAGTCCGGGCAATGCACGTAGGAAAAGGCAATGGCAACTCCCAGTCTGCTTCAAAATACAGATGTGTTGGAGCTAGGGATGCACCAAAATTTCGGCTGCAGAAATTTTCGGCTGAAAATAGGCCTATCCCATTTCCGCTGAGAAAAGGTAAAGTCTGCTGAAAATTACCCCCCCTCCAGTAGCTTACTAACTGTGGGGCGGTCCGCCCCGTGTGCCACTCACCTGGGGGGTGTCTTTGAGCCGCGGACGAGCATCACAACATATTCATGTGAAGGAAGAGAAGGGCGGAGCCATGCAACGCTGCGCCGTGTGGACGCACTCCGCCCGGTGTGCCTTCACACAGTGCTTCAGTATGAGCCTCAGACACTGGATGCAGGTGGTCCCGCGACATCAGTGCCTCAATAGCAGGCAGCAGCAAGCAGGCAATCCATCATGCCTGCCATCAACTGTAAGTCTGCTAATGTTTCTTTTGTTTTAAAGGGACACTATAGTCACCTGAACAACTTCAGCTTAATGAGGTTGTTCAGGTGAGAACTATAGCTCCCTGCAGCCTTTCTCATGTAAACACTGTATTTTCTGAGAAAATACAGTGTTTACATTGAAAGCTAGGAACACCTCCAGGTGCAGTCACTCAGAGTGAACCAGAGGGACTTCGGAGTTGATGGAGGCATACTATGCCTCCATCCACTCAGATCTGCTGTCAGCAGAGCACAGGGCAGCACTGAGCACAGCATCCTGTGATTCAGTGTCTCTTCCCTCTGCATGCAGACACTGAACTTTCCTCATAGAGATTAATTGATTCAATTCATCTCTATGAGGAGATGCTGATTGGCCAGGGCTGTGTTTGAATCATGCTGGCTCTGCCTC